GGAGAAATAATTTTTAAAAACAATTATAATTTAGAGCTTTCAAGACAGCTTGTCAGATAGAGGTGTGTGCCACCAAGCCTGATGGCAGGAGCCCACATAGTGGTGGGTGAGAACTAACTTCCTGCAGGTTATCCTTGTACCTTCATACACTAACCATGATGGCACATGTGTATAAACACACAATAATTTTTTTTTAAATTGTTAAACTTTTTCATCAAATCTACATCTTAGTTGCACTGATATAATCACAAATAAGGACTAAAAAGGGGAAATTAATGCTTAATCTTATTCCTGTGTTGACTAGAAATCAGGAGAATTTCCATTTGTAAAAGGTTTGCAGTGGAGAGATGAACTCATGGAATCAGAACCATCCTAAAGCTTCAACCAGGAGATAAATTACAAAACAACAACAAAATTGACTTTGTTTGTGTTTCATCAAAGCTGATTAAAGTGCATCCAATCAGAAGAACTGACTGCTGCAGAATCACATGAGCTGTAAATGCCACCAGCTCCAACTGCTATGAGCTCAGGCGCTCTGTCACTGGTCTTGTGCTTTATTGTAAATACAAATCTAGCTCAGTATCCAAACATCGGATTTTCTTTGACAAATCCAAACTGGCGAAAATGGTTAACAAATAAATAATCCTGACTTGCAATGATAGTGAAATAAGAATATTACACAGTCACAGCTCTGAAATAGGTCCCTTTCCTGGAGATACCTGCAGTCCTCTTCAACTATCTAAGCCTTTACAACTGCTGAAAAACTGCCTTCACATCCACAAAGAACTGCTTCTAAAGGTATACACATCAAGTCTGTGTGGTAATGGGTGATAGGCAGAGAGAAGCAAGAAGCCTCCCTCCATTCTCTCCTGCTGGCAAGGCTCCCCTCTCTCGGTCACAAGGGAGTGAGAGGGAAGACTGGCTCACTGGACTGAGTGTACATGCCTTGTTTAACTTGAGTGACTGATAGAGAATCAGCAACAGGAGTGAGTTGCTATGTCCTTTGAACATAGAGCAGAGCTCCTTCTCAGTGGGAAATACCCACAAACGCAGCAAGGAGCAGGGATGCTAGGACTACTGAAAAGGTGACCAAGGGGGCAAAGCAGTGCCACACTTGCATTGGGTAGCGATGTGGTGCACAAGTCCTGTGGCCTGCTACAGCCTCTTCCTGGTCCACTGTAACATTTACAGGAGGAAATGACAACGTGAGCCACTGAACTTTCAAAGTTACGATTTTCTAAAGTTTCTATGCTGGAAAGGCTTCTGTGTCTGTTGTATTGACGCAGCACTCACCTGGTTAACAGGCAATTCAAATGTGCCAGTTTCTGGATTACGATATAAGATGAATGTATCTCATGTGTGAAAGGAATGTACTGAATAGGACAAGCGAAAGCTGGACGCTTGAGAGTGAGGAATCTCAAAGCTAAAGCTATCTGACCCCTCCCCCAACTCATGACAGGGCCAACACAAACGACCTCTTCAGGCCTCTGAGATTGGGCTCCCCTGCTTAAAGGTATTATCCACACAGGAATGGCATGGATGGTTTTCTTACAAGAGAATTCGTCTTATGATCCAACTCAGTCATCCCTCACCTCCATAACTAAAAGGGCTAGGTTGCGGCATTCCTGGTGGGAGGAACATGCACAAGTTTGAGGCATGGCTAATAATTTATACATAAAAGTAAGCTTTATTCCTTTGTATAAGTAGAACAAGAAATATGTGTGAAATGGATTCTTAATGTTATACTAAGAAAATCAGAATGAGCCAATTTTCTTTGTATGACTCGCTTAGGAGAGAACTAGGATTCGATGCTTATCTCATTATACATGGAAGGGGCTTGTTATCCCTGTGGGCTGACTGAAATGTGCTGCTATGACAGCCACACTTAACGGTGTTAGACACAGGCATGGACCAGAAGCCTCCAGAAGATTAGAAAGATGAAGATGACTTATCATGTGCATCTTGTGCATATACAATTCTGCTATCATTATATCCCCAGGAGGGTCCAGGGGATGCTTCCGTCACCAAGGCATCGTGTCATTTACTGGAATGTTAGTTAGTATAGGGCATTAGGTATCCTGCCAGTCACAAAACTCATCAAACCAAGTAACTTTTCTGTTGCTCTCTTATTAGCCTTTTGCCTTCTCTGTGGCGTTTAGTACAGGTTACTTACCTATCTGTTTGATGTTTATTTAGTTTTTTTAATCATTTGTTTTCACTTCTCTTTCACTAGAATGCGCATCCTATTTGTTTGTTCATCTCTGTGTTTCAACTGCTTTACCACAGAGCCAAGTACACAGACACTCAATAAGAGAGATTCCAAGTATAACCAAAGACACACGGTTTGTCATTGTCAATATGTGGTCCTGGTCCCTCTAATCTCCTGGAACAAACACACTCATGAAAACATCATTTTCCCAAAAAGAAGATTCACATATCAAATAAAGCTTGTCATAGGGCTAGGAATGTAGCTCAATTAGTAGAGCATTTGTCTAGCATGTACTAAGGCCTGAGTTCAGTTCCTCCAACTACTTTCACTGTGGAGTAATCTTAGCATTCAGGAAAGGGCGACACGCCGGGCGGTGGTGGCGCACGCCTTTAGTCCCAGCACTTGGGAGGCAGAGGCAGGCGGATTTCTGAGTTCAAGGCCAGCCTGGTCTACAGAGTGAGTTCCAGAACAACCAGGGCTGCACAGAGAAACCCTGTCTCGAAAAACCAAAAAGAAAAAAAAGAAAAAAAAAAAAAAAAAAAAAAGGAAAGGGCGGCAGGAGCAGCATCCTTAACTTTACTGGGAACCCTAGGCCAGCTTGAAATATATGAAGCATTATCTAAAACACTTCTAAATTCCCTGCAACATATGTATATTTCATCAGCTTATTGTGTGCTGCTATAACTTCTATTTAAATGCTATTTTACTCAGAAAAAAACCAAAATATTCTTTTTAATAAAGGACAATTCAATGAATGTCTTTTCTTCCATGAAAATACTTGAATAGAATCACATTTTGCCCAATATTCATGTCACCTTAAATTGTAAGTTAAGCAAAATTTCAAATATCATCAACTTGTATCTCTGGACTCACTCAAATTCTACACAAGCTGATATACTTCCTAAGACTGCCCTACAGTAGCTTTCTTTGCTATCAAAGAAACTGAATTCACTCCTATCAACATTTCAAAATTCAAAATTATATTTAATCAAAATTTCCACTTTCTGATTATAAACCTTTATTTGTAACAACTAGTGGTTGCTTTCATTAAGACTAAACTTCTATATATCCCACTCTTCTGAAAGTGATTAATACATAACCACTAAATACTCGAGAATGAGGCAGGACCAAGACCAAGCATTAGGTTACACTCCTCCCCTCAGTACGGCCACCTCAGGCTCATGGTGTTGTGTCTCCATTCAAATTCATATTTCAGCAAAACCTGCAAATCAGTCCATGTCTTGATCCTTTGGGACTGTATTTATACAGCTGTAATCTTAAACATGAAAATGACAAAAGATCTATTGAATTCTATACATTAAATGTTCAGTTTGTAAAGATTTGTACTCACAGTAAGGTTCAAAACTGATTTGTTTTTTGAACTCTACATCCTTAATATCAAGAGCATCCAACTAAAACTGGCTTTGGGGCTAGTGAATAACTAGTGAAAGTACATAGCTTTCGTGTGGCCCAGTGTCCCATCCTCAGCACCAAAACCATAACCAGACCCGTTTCCCACCTAAAGACAAGATCTAAAATATAATCTGCTCAGCAAGACTAGCAAGACCTGTAGGAAAATAACAAGTGTGTGAAGCTCGCAGAGAGCTGTGGTCACAGGAGAGGACATGTGTGAAGGCGTGAACAGTAAAGCAGCGTGCAACGCTGAATGTGGGAAACAGGCGTTAATAATAAGCCTCTCTCATCTAAATGGAACTTTCCATTAGTTGGTTTATCAGAAGTCATTAAAGCATGAGTCACAGTTAGAAACAACCATTGTAACAATTTAACTTAAACCAACTACAAATGCAACTCATTCATTACTCCTCTCTGGAGGGTCCAGGCCTTGTCTTGAGGGTAGATCTTAGCTTCCTTACCCAGATGCCATTTCTAGCTTCAGCTTCGGTTCTTTTAAGGCATCAAAAACAAAAACAAAGGGGGAATGGAATGGGGGGTATAAAAGGGTAACCTAGAAGGGGGAGTTCATTTGAAATGTAAACAAATAAAATGATTAATTAAAAGAAATAAAGCAAAAACACCACAACATGGTATGACACAACTGGAAACCAAATTTCAGTATTTTATATGTAATTTTAGTTATGACAACTGGAAAGCAATTTCTGAAAGAACTCATTTTTTTTTTCAGAGCCAGCAACAGTTTTTAAAATAATGACCCTCCCTTTCACAATACCCCATCATTACAAAATATGAACCCAGCAGAAGTTCAAAGACACACACAGCGAGCCATACAAGCATCATACGTCACATCAAGAAGTGTGGGGATGACAGACAGCATACTTGTTATCCCATCATCAGGAATCTGGAAACACTGAAACTCAAAATATTCCAGATATTTTTAAAAATAATTTATTTTAGTAAGCCACACTAAAATAGTCAATTTAACTCTTATTTAACTAAATGTGTCATTAAAAGGCATCTTAATCAAATCACAATAGTTTTAAAATAATTCCATGAAATTTTTTCTAAGAGTTATAAAAATGTCAAAATTTAAAAAAAAAGAAATCATAATCTTAGCATTCAGGATGCTGACATAGGAGGATTCCAAGTTCAAAGCCAATATGCTATGTAACAAGTTCAAGGCTGAACTCAATGAAGCTGCCTCAAAAAAAATTTTTTTTTAAATTTTATATTAGCAATTTAAGATGTGCCATTAGCAGTATGAAAGGTGGCTTCAGCATTTACTTAACACCAAAAGAGTGTGCCACTGGGCACTGCTAAAACACGACTTAGAAGAGTTATTTTGGTGATCTGGGTTTAAAATGTAAAAACTTACTGATGTTGTTGGAAACCTGATTCAGTTTATCCTGGGACCTGCTGATCAGGACAATCTTCATTCCACGCTTTGCCAACTGAAAACAATGAGAGATCTGAATCACACTCTGAAGTTTATTCTAAATCAGAGATTAGATGAACTCCCATTTTAAGAAAAACCTCACCAGGTGATAATTCAATCACACACACACACACACACACACACACACACACACACACACACACATGATCTAAAATGAACCTTAAGTTTGCCCAGAACCTTAAGTTTCTAACCAAGCATTTAAATCTCAAACCACTTTGGAAGGGTGGTGGCTTCTACTTTTTATTTTAGGCCTATCTATATGGTGTGGACTTTTTTATATTGTTATACATCTATGATTTCTGGAATATGAAGTTTAGGATTTAAAAAGTTGTCATAGGCTAGATACACAGAACAAATATCAGTGGGCCAAACATTAGCAGTTCCTATGTCAATCTTAAAATTTGCATTTGGGACTCTCATAAACACACTATGAGAATGACTCTAGAAAAGTATAACTAAGGAGAGACAACCCACACTAAACATGAGCTTCACCCGTGGGGTCCTGGGATCACTCTTAAAAAGCTGAGCACAAATACAGCTTTCTTAACTAGATATGGGATAATTGGCTGCCTCAAGGTGTTGCAGCCATAGCTTCTTTCCCACTGAACTGGAAGCCAAACTAAGCCTGTTTTGGGTTGCTTTTGCCAAGTATTTTATCACTGTAGTAACACGGGCATTAAAATTAAAGGGCAACCAAAATAAAGTATATTAACCATTGTTTTTTTTAAAAGATTTATTTTTATTTTATTTATATGCGTACTCTATAGCTATCTTCAGACACAGCAGAAGAGAGCATCAGATCCCATTACAGGTGGTCATGAGCCACATGTGGTTGCTGGGAACTGAACTCAGGACCTCTGGAAGAGCAGTCGGTGTTCTTTACTGCTGAGCCATCTCTCTACCCCACATTAACCATTGTTAATGAATAAATTAACAAAGAATTTCTTGAAAAGAATCATTCATATATATATACATATATATATATATACATATATATATATATGCATATATATACACACACATACACACACACACAATACTATGTAATGTTGCACAGAGTGAAAAATATTCACAGCAATGTGTTCTTCTCATAGAGACACACAAATAAAGAGGCAGAGAAAAACACTAATAGGCTTAACACTTTGTACTGAACTACCACACAATTTACAAATGAGCAACACTCTGGATGATGTGAGGTATAAGTGATTCAGTAAACTAATTCCCAGTTATAAATCCTAAAGTCAGCTTTTATTAAGTAACAAGCAATATTGCAAATGAGGCTGTGAAAGAGCATTTTTTATAAAAATAACAAGGCCTGTTAATTTGCTAAATTAATCTGCTATAAAAACATTAAAGAATCCATTAGCCCATATTGATACTTTAAGAAAAAAAGAGAAACACATTAACAAATGAAGAAGGACAGGAAAAGCTCTTATTTATAGAAAACACCAAGCAAGCATGATAGTTCAGGGCTGTAATTCTAGAGGAAGGATTGCCATGAGCTTGAGGTAAGTCTGAGCTACATACATAATGTGATAGCTATAGTCTAGCTTAGGCTACAGAGGAAGAGATAAATTAGAAAAACACTACTTAAATTACGGTAAAGTAATTCAGGCAAAATTGTCAATGGGTGTAACAAACATTAGACTAAAAATTAGCTAGAAAATGGAGTATATATAGTCCCAAAATATCATGTCACATACCCCTATTACTTTTATAATGAGGAATTTTGTTAAACAACATCTCAATAAATTGTTTGCCTTTACATCAGCAATAATGGAGCACATGGTGTTTTTTGCCTCTTGATAGGATGAGGTCAAGGGGATTAATATCACTCTTATTACCACTTCTGTTAAAAATGTTTACCCTCAATCGAATCAAGAGAAGACAAATTCAATTTTGTCTGCAAAACAACTGACTTTCATTTCTCAAAGCACCACTTTTATAAGGAGCTGAAAGAGTGTATGTCAGTATAGAGCTTCTCCCGAACACAATGACGGGCCAACAGGAAGGCTCAGTGGGTAAAGGTACTTTTCCTAGCAAGCCTAATGACTTGAGTTAGATCCCCAGGACCTACACATTGTAATGAAAGAACTGACTCTCCCCACAGGTTGCCCTCTGCTCTTCACATGCATGTTGTGACGTGCATGCATCTATGAACACATATACACAGATAAATAAATGTGGACTAGAGAGATGGCTCAGCAGTTAAGAGTGCTCTGTTCTTGTGGAGGAACCAAATTCAGTTCCCAGCACCCAAGTCAGGCTGCTCACAGCTCCTTGTAACTCCAGCTCCAAGGAATTCAATGCCCTCTTCTGGTTTCCTATGTGATGCAAACACACACACACACACACACACACACACACATACAAAGTCTTTAAAAATATGTATGTACATAGGAGGCCAAGGATCTCTGTTGAGTTTAAAGTCAGCCTGGTCCACATAGAATTTCAAGCCAGCCATGGCTACATAGTGAGACTCTGTCTAAAGTAAATAAGTAAAACAAAATAAATGTAATAAAATTTTAATCAAAACTGCTATTGAAACAGATTATTCTATTTTTCTTATTTTTAAAACAGATTCTGAAAATCACCTACCTCTTCTGCATACGATTTTCCAATTCCATCAGTGCCACCTGTAACAACTGAGACACAAGAGAAATAGTTTAGTTTAAGAACTTCAGGGTGTGGTCCATTAGAGACCACCAATGACACTTAAGAACACCAGTACAATCTTTGATGTGAAAGAGCAATATCCATGGCTGGGTGTGTAGCTTAGTGAGAGAACACAGAACTTCCCATGCATGAGGCCCTAGGTCCAACTCCTAGTGAAATAAGTACATACATAAATAAGCAACACCAGTATTCACATTTAGAATTAACTACCTAATACATCAACTCAAATTGAAAAGAATGAAATACCAAGTGTTGGCAAGGATGTAAAGAAACTGAAGGTGATGGACTTCATGCCTTACCAGTAGTACCAGACTGACACAATCATTTTGGAACAACTATTTGTCAATATATTTAGAGATGTTTGCCTTACAAGCCAGCAATCTTTAAGAGAAGACTACCTAAGTAAGGTCTACCAAAAAGATGTCAGTAGTACCTTTACTAGTGTTTGTGCTATACGCTAATAAAGCCTAAATATTAATCTATAGAAGAATGAATAAATAAACTAAGATATAGACATACAATGTATAATTAACAGTAGTAAGATGAACTGTGACACATACAATACCTAAATATAACATTACGCTAAGTGAAAAAAGATATTTGTTTCTTAGTGCCACCCAAAGGAATGTACATTTATGGGGTACCTGCTCAGCCACCATCTTTCCAGAGTTTTAAAAAAAATTTTAGAAAAGTAAATAAAATAAAATAAAAAAACACAGGGAACAAATCTTTATGTATCTATGGCCCAGTGAAGCAATGATCAATTTCAGATTAATCTTACTCCATCTATACACTCACACCCTCTCATCTCAGATTTTACATTTTATTTTTAAAAAGTATTTGTGTGTATATGTGTTGGAGTGAGGTTTTTGTACACTGTTTGAAGATGTCTCTGTTATTCCTTGCCTGCCTAAGGCACCTTCTCATCGGTTAAAATAAAAAGCCTATATGCTATAGCAAAAGGCAGAACAGTAAGGTGGGACTTCTGGACAGAAAGTGGAATTCTGGGAAAGAACCAGAGGCCAAAGATTTGCCACTGAGACAGACATAGAGGAAGTCAGATGAATGAAACCGAGGAGAGGTAAGCAGCCAGATGGCAGAGCTTAGATTAATATAAATGGGATAATTGAGTTATGAGCTACTTGGGAACAAGCCCAGCTTAAGGCTTAAGCATTTATTAATAAATATGTCTCTGAGTTATTATTTAGACCAAGAGTGGCCATAGACAGGACCATAGTTACATATATGCATGCATGTATGTGTGTGTATGTGAGTCGAGGTGTGTATGTGAGGGTGTGTGCATGCAGAGCACACATAATGCCACAGTATGTGTGTGGACCACTTTCAGAAATCAGTTCTCTCTTTGTACCAAGAGCTCTTAGACGGAACCGAGTACTGTTAGACACGGGGGTGCAAATGGTTTAGGTTTTATCCATTGAGTTCATTTTAAATTTAGTTCCAAACATCATGTTAATTCATGTCAAAAAAACAAGCCATCCCTTCACAGCCCCACACATCCTAGGTAATGGGTTTCTGCTTTCTCAGTCTGTCATCTGCACTTCTCTGATACCACATGTTCTTCTGTTCTTGAGTAGTTGGATACAGATACTTGATCAGGTTGGGATTTATTTTTTTGTGTGTGCAAATGCTCCCTAAGTGATAGTGTCTGCCTACACAAGGAACCTGGGTCCAGTGATAGTTTGCTGTGTTAACAGCCAAAAGTGATCATTGTTGTGATCCAATACTTAGGCTGCAAAAGTGACATCTGAGTCCATAATTCGCCCTCATACACTAGCTGGGATATCTGCAGGACGCATCCCTCCTCCACTAATTGGTTGCCATAAGATAGAACATAAATGTGAGCTCAAAAGCAATACTTCTTCCACGGCAGTTCTCAAAACTGGCTGCCTCCTACTTTCCAAGACAATCCATGTGTTTTATTTTAACAGTTTTGTTTGTATGTGCTTTTATTGTAATAATTTTGTTTGTAAAGAACACTCACTCTTGGGTTCTGCAACAAATGTTTAAAACGATCTATACACAACTGACCAGCATATGAAAGTCTCCTTTTCTCTGAAGACTCAAAGGTCGAGATTTCACCCTGCACTCTCTCCTTGACACATAAACATACCACAAGCCAAGGACAAGAACATGCTTGCTAGCTAGCTATTTTCAACTCTCCCTTTTTCTTCTCTTTCAGACTCTTCTGCTTTTTTCAAGATCCCAGATTCTCATTCCTACCTTGCTTGCTCCTTTCAGAGCCTCGTCCAGGCTCCATCTGGAACTGCACTGTTCCAGAATACTTAAAAGAAACCTTTTTCTGTCCTCTGATGCCTACAACAAGCACTCTGCAAAACTGAATGCTTACTGCACTTTACCACTCTCAACTTTGCATTGTACCGTCATATTTTCTTGTATGTCTTTATTGTGCAGAACACTGCAATACATTCCTATAGTAACCAGAATTTGGTAAAAAAGCTGAGAGTGTAGCTCAGTGGTAGAGTCTTCGGCTAACACATGAGACCTTGGGTTCAAAGCCCAACAACATTATAAAAAGAAAGGTAGATTAAGACAAAGGTAGTATCTCTCACAGGTTGAAGGCATGGGCCTCAACAAGACTACCCTCACTTCTGATAGATACCAGTTTTAGAGGTATCAACTGGCTATAATTTGGAGTGGGGATCCCATTTCCACAACTACCTCAAGTTGGATAATTCAAAATACATTAACTCAAGCTACTTACTAATTCACTTTGTTACAGAGGATACAAGTCAATACCAACCGAAGGGCAGACTGGGTAAGTATAGTGGGAGAGGGTCTTACATGCAGAGGTTCCATCCCACCCCAGTGAATTCAATCAGAGCAAGGACACAGCCTCCCAGAGCATGCATGGCTTTCCCAACTAGGACTTCCACTCAAGTCCGGGTTTCCTTATAAATACACAGGAAGGAACCCAATCTTTAACCCTCCTCCCCAAACTAGAGATCAGCAGGTTGAGCTATTACCATTAGGCTCAAAGCTTCAACCTCTAATGACAGTCTTTCTGGCATGAACAGTTTGTTAGCCTCAACTACCAAAGACTCACCTGGAATAAGAAAAAGTAAGGATTTAGGAGCAGGCTCACGCATGGCCTCTCCTCCCTTTTCCCTTCTTCTTCCCTTCTTCTTCCCTTTTCCCTTCCCCTTCCCTTCTTCCCTTTTCCTTCCCTTCTTCCCTTTCCCTTTCCCCTTCTTCCCCTTCTCCTTCCCTTCTTCTTCTCCTTCCCTTCTCCTTCCCCTTCCTCTTCCCCTTCCCTTCTCTTTCCCCTTCCCCTTCCATTGTCCTTCCCCTTCCCCTTCCCTTTCCCCTTCCTCTTCCCCTTCCCTTTCCCATTCCCCCTTCTGGAAAAAAGGACAAAACCAGGCAAAGTCTTTGTTACACAATTATTATGGTTAAACATCTGTACAGAACCAAACACTAGACTATAATCACATTTCACTTCCCAGACAACTTTCTATCTTTCCTAGACACAAATCTGTCCCTCTCCCTTTCTGTGGTCTTTTTAAATCCTCTTAGATTCCCTAAAAATCCCCCACTTTTGCTGTTGCTTGCTTCTTTACAACAGGGTCTCATGTAACCCCAACTGGCCTCCCCCTCCCACATATGGGAGGACCTTCTTTCTCATCCTTGAGTCTATACTTCCCTAGTGCTGACATTACAGATCTATGCATCCTTGTTTTAACAACCTCTTGACACAATTCTCCACACAATCCACCCCGGTCCGGCTCTTAGGAATGACCTTCCCAGAGCACCCTAGATCTCCTCCTGCACGCTATAAACCACTTACTTAACCTGTTACACCAGATGTTGGGACACCATGATGAAATTTTCCTGCCTCCCTCCTATGTTGAAGCTCATGTTTTTAGATCCTGTTTTCCTGCCACAGTATAATAGTAGAATTGGCAGTAGCTCCCCAAGGAAAAAAGAGACACATGGAGACACTTTAATAAACATTTTTTAAAAATTTTTAAATACATTTTTAATTTTTCAGATAGCTTTAAATGCACATTTTTTTAAAAGTGAAGCTAGTACAAAGAGTAACTTCTCCCTTAGTCCCAGTTCTCCTGTTAACACACTACATGACTATGCTACACTTGTCACAACCCATAAACCAACAACATGGCATCCACACTCCACACTTTAGTCAAACTTTCCTTATGTCACTGAATGCCTGTTTCTGTTTGAGTATACCATCCAGGATAAGATTACACGTATCATGTTCCTTATGTTATGATGAAAATCAATGGTTTTACTTATCTTTTCTTTCAGTAATTAAAAAGAAATGTGTGAGTGAGAGACAGAAAGAGAGAGAGAGAGGGAGGGAGAGAGAGAAAAAGAGAGAGAGAGAGAGAGAGAGAGAGAGAGAGAGAGAGAGAGAGAGAGAAGTGGTGAGCCTCTCTTATGTGCCTCAGCTGTACAATAAGCAGTGTTATACACAATGGTCAGACAATTGGAGGGGGGTTCTGCTTTACAGGACATATACTCAGTAATATACTTTTCATAATATACAACACAAACAAGTAATTCTTAGTCAATCAAAGGAAAAAAATCATCTGATGAGTATAGGGGAGAAAATAAAGAGATGATTTAAAGGATGACAAGAAATGTCCTGTTTGCTTTAAAGCTACAACTTCATAATGAGTTTTAAGTTGGACTTTTATATAAAAATAACACTGTGGTTCTCACTAAGAAGATTTGATCATACTCACTGTCAGGACAGTTAAACTCCATTGTTAAATTTAGGAAGCTAACCAAATCATCACTTTAAATCAAGAGTCTGCTGGCAGCAACTTCTACAAAATTAGAGGAAGTTGTTTTTCTTTTTAATTCTTTTTACTGTTACATTTTTCAGTCATGTGCAGGCATTGCCTTTCCAAAAAGTAAGGTTCTTCTGCATCAAAGTTAGCAAAACGCTCATCATCTGTCTCAC